TTGTCTGCTGTTTGTGCTCTTTTCTATTAGCAGCTAACCACAAGTACTAACTGGGGTTACAGATGCTAAAGCATCTTGTTAGACTTTGTGAGACTTAGCTCAAGTACATGAAAAGGATTGCGAAATCCAACCAAAAGCACAAACATGAAGTTCAAGTGCTACTGCACTGTCTGGAATTACTTGCCAGCTTGGTTGTGATACGGAAAAACATTCCTTGTCCTTTGCTCAAGTCTCCTGTTGCACTGGATGTACTTACTTGTCCTGTAGAGAGGTAGAAAAGTAAGTTTGCTGGTTTTGGTTTGGATAGAGTTAATTTTCTTCACAGTAGCTAAGTATGAGGCTATGTTTTGGATTTGTGCTGAGAAGAATGTTAACCAATGTTTTTAGTTGTTGCCAAGCAATGTTTATATTAAGCCAAGGACATCGTTTAGAGTCTCATGCTGCACCTGTGTTCCCAGCTGCCTCCCTACAAGAGGCTGGGAGGGGGTGCAGCCAAGACAGCTGGCACCCTCTTGCCCATCTGACCCCATCTGGCCAATGGGATATTTCATGCCATAAGACATCATGCTCAGTGTATAAGTTGGCAGGAGTTGACCAGGGGGCTGGGCTCTTGGGGCTCTCCAGTTCTGGCTCACTCGGGGACTGGCTGGGCGTTGGGCAGTTGTGTCATTTGTTTTCTTTTCCTGTCATTTTCATTATGCAGTATGGTATTTTCATTGCATGTTTATTGGTATTTGCATTACATATTTATTAGTATCATTATGTCATTTATTTTCAATTTTTAAACTGTTCTTATCTCAGCCCGTGGGTTTTCTTACCTTTTCCTTCCATTCTTTCCCCTGTCCCACTGTGGGAAGAGGGAGGTGAGAGAGCAGCCCTGTGGTGCTTAGCTGCTGATGGGGGTTACATCACAACGCTAAGATACGGCAAGCTTGATTTTAAGACCTGAGAACAGGATTTTGACTTTGCTCTTGGATCAAACAAATGAGCGTAGGCTTTCCTTCTCTTTTAATATCAGTTTTCAGTCTAGAAGGCAAGGACTGCATCAGGAAAAGTGGAGATGAAGGCAAGAGATTGACAAGGACTTTCTGTTCGTGTCTTTATTCTAGTCTTGTGGCGATTCCTGTGTACGTTAAACACAACATCAGTTTCCGTGACAGCAGCTCACTGGGACGTTTTGAGATCACAGTGGGGCCGAAGCAGACTATGGGGAAGACTGTGGAGGGAGTGATGGTCACTAGCCAGATGCCAAAAGGTGTCTTAAATATGACTCTCACGCCCTCTCAGGGAACACATATCTTCGATCCAGTTACAAAGGTGAGAGGAAAGAGAGAAATTAGATATATTTTCTTAATCCTTTTTACCTTTCAGCAAATGAAGTTGAGCTCTTCATGCTTAGATGGATGTTTCCTTGAGCACTGCTTTTCTGAAGGCAGTATCTTTTCCTGGAGTGAGAACTTTTTCCAGGACAGTTGCATGCTAGAAGTTGTCTTAATCCCCACAACAAATAGCTCAGTGTCCGAGTGGGCTGTCGTTCTGGTTGTGTGCAGAAGATCCAAGAACTGGAATTGTATGATGAGGGATTAGTCGGGTGGATGCTTTACAGACTTCTGCAGTTCTAGTCTCGTGCCTAGTACTGCAGGTTAGACTGGGCCCTTTGCAAACACTGAGGGTTTGGGTTGGCTGGTGGCTTTTGATTTGTCTTGAGGTGTTCTGGTTTTGTTGTTTCGTGTCCCTGCCCCCAGGTCACTTTTTTATTCTCACTGCAAATTAAAATTTGACGTTTTACCTACAGTAAAGCCTCAAGCAACACTGCTTCAGCCACTTGAAAAGGAGGCAATCCTGCGTCGCTTTTGTCACTGTTACTTGTGCTACAGGCCCCATTTCCCATGTGTGTCATTCACGGTAGACTTTTGGGGAACCTCATGGAAAGAGAGAGGGGAAAACAAAGGTCTGAGGCAGCTGCTCCTTAAGCCTGTACTGTATCTGGCCAATATGAAAGGCAGGATACAAAGACAAAGACCTTTTCCATAAAGAAACACTAAAAGCTGTTGTTGGAAGGGGACTCTTCTTTAGAGCGTGTTACAACATTCCTGTTTCACTGCTGCATTTTTTGTTCTTTGAAGTTGCTGTCATGGGATGTGGGGAAGATAAACCCCCAGAAGCTGCCAAGCCTGAAAGGGAGTGTGAGCCTGCAAGCTGGGACGTCAAAACCAGACGAAAACCCCACCATTAACCTGCAGTTTAAAATTCAGCAGCTGGCTATATCTGGTAAGTGACTGTCAGGTAAAGAAGCTGAATATTTTCTGCTGTGTCAGTGCTCACTCTGCATGTTGCTGAAGTAGCTCTGCTTCTGAAGTACATTCTGGCTGAAGCATGTTCTTCAAGTAAAAAATCATATGCTTTGACTACAGCTATGTGGATTTGTTCTCTCTGATGCTCTGTGAAACAGCTATCTACATTTCCCTGCATTTTGTGCTTACAGACCTATAAAGAATCTTAGGGGTACGGATGTGTTTGCAAAGAATGATTCTGACAATTAGCAGCTTTTCTGTGATCTGTTTACAGCTTCCTAAAACTTTTGCTGTGCTTTTCTGCACCTCTGGTATGATCTTCTGTTCCTTTATTCTGAGGGCTTGTTTGCTTTGTGGCAGCAGTCGGTCTTACGCTGTGTTTGTTTGCCTTTAGGACTGAAGGTGAATCGCTTGGACATGTATGGGGAGAAGTACAAGCCCTTCAAGGGGATTAAATACATGACTAAGGCTGGCAAGTTCCAAGTCCGAACCTAGAGGATCCCGATAGTGAGAAAGAGCACTTTCCTGTTTCTCCTGTCCCTGGCTGTTGGATGCAGCCTCTTACCCCATCCATCTGTTTAGGGTTGCTCCTTTGCCTGTAGTAGCATGAGCAGGAGAGCCAGTGCTTAGGGTGCTGGGGAGCAGGGAAAAGTAAGGCTGACCTGAAACCATCTCATCCCTAGCTGAATCTGAAGTATTTGGAACAGCAGCAGATGGTAGAGGTGTTCAGGTCCCTTGGGATTAGTAAGTCAGCTGTGTAAGCTTGTATCACCTTCATTTTTCTGTCTTAAAGGAAATTCTAGGGATTTACTGCCTTTTGTAACTCCTCTTCTTTATTTTGGTTGGGTTTTATCCCTTTTTAGATGATACAAAGTTGAATTTCCACAAACTTAAGTGTGATGGTCCAGCATCTGCCCTTCTCCGTCACTGAGCGGTAGGGTGGGAGCTGTGCAGCTCTTGGCAGCAGAGAGATCATCTAGCCATTCTGCCTCAAAGATACTGGACGAAGTGGAAAGGTAGATTGTCCCACCCTGGATGGCAAGTTAAGAAGTCTGAGATTGGGGATGGTGCCACAGAGGGAGGAAGGGAAGAAGTGAATGCTCTTTCTAGATACTTCATAAGCCATCTTGGTCATCAAGTATCTTGAATCTCTGGAGACAGACTGGAAACCCATCCAAATCTTGGTATGGTGTCTGCTGAAGGGCTGACCGTAGCACGTGTGATCTTGAAACTGATGGGTGGTGACATCTGAATGTAATTCTGCTTCTCCTCTTGTTTTGTCAGTATTTGAAGGTAGGGGTTCTCCTGGCTTCTTTGGGGAGTCAGGGAAGAGACAGAGAGGCAGGAGAATTCTTGTGGAGACAGCATTCTGATGGAAACTGAAGCTGTGGCTAAATGAAGATGATAACTGTCCTAGTAACTTATTGGAACCTCGGTTTGCCTCTGCCTGCCTACTGCAAATGAAGGTGATACTGCTGTTCTCCAGCTCACTGATGTCTCTGAGATAATTGTGTCCTGATACCTTTGTAGAGTTTCTGGCTGTCCTACCTCATTCCAGTTCCTGTACCAATCAGCTGCTGTGCAGGTGGATTCCAAACTACACTGGATTTTTCACTGGGACCATCTCTTCTGCAGGAGCTGGTGCTGCTCCTGCCCATTCCAGTCTGTGCTGCATCTCTCTCTACAGCATAAATATGAAATGAGAGGCATCTGCGCTGTTCCATGTTGTCTGTAATGTGCTCTTTGGCCACTAGATGCCAATGTGTTTTCTTTGTGGTAGCAGAACTTTGCCCTAAGCTCCTGTTCATGTGACTACAGCATCTGTCGGGTGGCTGTGGAGTCCAGCACACACAGTTCGTGCTTGTGAACAAGGTGGCCCCATACGAAGGGTAACGTACGTTCTGGTTTGGTGTAACGGATACTTGCAGTGAGAGTGGTATCTTGATTGTGGAATGGCAAGTTTCAGTCATCTGATGAACGCCGTGGCAGGTGGCCTTACTGAGCATGTTCAGTGCACATACAACCTTCAGCAAGGGCATCAATAAAATTCACTTTTACATGTCATCTGTGTCATTTCAGAGTGGTTTGTGTGGGCTTTACAAGAAATACAGTTGGTACTTGAGGAGGAAGGTCAATTATGCCAATTGAGTTGTGGATAGTGGGTGCTTTAGGGAGATAAGTGTCGTTATGCAATTGGGATTGTAAGCTTGGGACTAAGTCACTGTCGGAAAAGCTAAAATTAACTTTCTTTGTAATTTTTCTTAGTGTGTCCTGGAAGGAGAGCTGAGCTCTTCACAGAACCTCAGTGAAACTGTCTTTAGGAATGCAGCTGAACTATTTTTGTTTACTAGGTAGGGTTTTGCGCAACAGTTCTGTAAAAAAAAAAATTGTGTTGAGGCTACAGAAGAGGTTTAGCTTTAGTATCAATCAAGCATTGTAGCTAGTAAACTAGTATGTATTTGGGAAATTCAGAACATTATCACTCAAAACCTTTACTCTCACAGTGTTAAGGAGCTCTCTGACCTACTAGCACAGCCTCTAGTCAAACAGAGCAGCTTATCATATAAGTAAGTACAGAATAGACGTTTGTTAAGGACACCCTTTACTTCCTCAGCCAGGTTTTGCAAATGGAGGCTCCCAGCATCCTTACAGCACGCAGGAGGAAGCTGCGAGGGCACGGCCACAAGACTCTGGATGGTTAATTTTTCTTTCTCAGGGTTTCACGTTGTCCTGAATCCAGTCAAGATAACGATTCACATTTGTATAAACGCCAGGTATGTCTTTGCGGCCACAGCCTATTCCCCAGCTGATGATTCCAATTAGATACATACGATCATCCTTCATACAGACCAGAGGCCCTCCAGAGTCGCCCTACAGAGAAGCAGCAGGTTAGTAACAATCTCCTTTTTCATTGTGGTTTGGTTTTGTTGGGTTTTCCCCCCGCACTGGCTTTAGTGGTTCACTGGTGTCTACAGAAATACCCTATGTAGTACGCTCACAAATCAAGAGCTCTTAGTAACAGCACTTTCACATAAGCCACTTTGGTGTTTCAGACTCCCTCAGTGCTCCCCTCATGGGGAGAGACCCCCAAAAATCTTAACACTAAAGCATCTAACTATGGTGCTCATTTATGAAATGTAGATGAGACATTAAGAACAAAAAGTGAAATGCTCTTATTCAAGCTATAAAGATCCAGGGTGTTTATACTGCTATGTGTAAGAGTAAAGCAAAATTACTGGAGCTGTTTAAACAGAAAGGATATGGATTGAATGTTTGCTCTGCTGTCTCATGTTACAGTTGCTCATTCTCTGCCATCTTTTGTCCTCTCCCCTTTTCAGTAGAGCAGCATGCCCTTACTCTTACAGAACCT